ATAAATAAATAAGTGCAAATGGATTGAGAAAAAGGGGAAGGCTGAGAATGTCATGGTTGGATGGAATTGATGAAGTCCTCAAAAGTAGAAGTGAGAAGTTTAAAGACAAAAAGGCAACAAATGAAGCAATGTATGGATGAGGTGGAAGTAAGGATGCTTTGCAAAAATGGAAATGCACAAAGAAGTGTAGTGAGTGGTGCTGGTACAAATCAGATTTTGTTAGATTCCCATTCTTTTATTTTCCTTAACCGTTTATCCCTCCTTTTCTTTATCTGATGCCTTAATTTCTTTGACTTACTGTTTCTTATTCCCCTTTTACACTTTGAATAATGTTGCTTACTTCAGAAAGAAATGATTTGATGGGTATGTATGTATATAATAATAAATTTAAGTTTACTATTATAATACAGGGATTTGTAAAATTCAAATGCAAATTTACAGAATTATTCTATTCAACAGTGGACTCCTTCTTTCCCCTTCTTTCTTTCCATTACTGTCTAAATTTTCAGGTGCAGATATTAATTTTGCCCACCCCAAATCAACTTTCTAAACAGCTTCTTCTTCTCTGCCTAAAATTAAGCTTTCAAAAGCTGTAATAATTTAGTGGGTGGAGAAATCAAAACAGCAGCAATGAAGTTTTTTCTATATGTATATTAACCTAGATCTTAGTCCTCATATTTTGTTATAATTATTTCACATTTATAATTCTAAAATGCTACAATATTTCTTTAACTGAAAGTCATTAACAGGCAATGCAAATGTCTGGTATATGGTTAAAAAATGAGGGTATATGTTTGTTGTAGGGAGGTAGATGCGTGGGAGAGGAGATCTTTAGAGCAATTTTTCAAACAGGTTGTCTTTCAGTTTTGACTGCTGGCTGTGCTACAGTAGTTGAATGATTCAATACAACATCAATACAACATTCAATGCAACAATACAAAAATTCAGTAGAACATCTCTATAAAAGAGGAAGTCCAGTGTTTTCAAACTTGGCAACTTTAAGATGTATGGACTTCAACTCCCAGAATTCCCCAGTCAGCATGGGGAGTTGAAGTCCATACATCTTAAAGTTGCCAAGTTTGAAAAACACTGTTCTAATCCATCCTGGAATGGCATGTCTTCAAAATGTCACTCAATTCTAACTTTTTGGTTTGAAATCTTTAGTATGATCCCCATAAGAAGACCTATTCAAATGGAACAGTCTGACACCTTGAGCCTGGCACCAGCTTAGAAAATGCTCAGTTTGACCCTGGAACAGGAAGGGAATAAGCTGTGTGTAAGTAGGGCAGCAAGAAGAATTTCCCAAAAAAACTTTCAAAAATATTAGTTATCAGTTAGCCATCAAACTATATTTAAGACCAAGCTGAACTAACTCATACCTTTCCTCCTTTAATCCCAAATTGCATATTATATTATTAAAATGATATTTCATTTATTTAAAAAAGTTAGATGGCTGCCCATCTTGTAAAACACAAGTCTGGGTGGCTCACAATAATAATAAAACCATAAACAGTAAAAACAAACAAACAAAAGCATCTGACCCATCATCTCCATATATCTATCTACGCAATTCCTGGGATCCAACCTTACTATACTAGTGTGTGAGGGAAAAGCAAGCCTGTTACAGCTTTCTGGAAGCTAAAAGGGTGGGTGGGGGGCCTGCTGGACTCCAGTGGAAAAGCTGTTCCACAGGGCATGGTCTGCTACAGAAAAAACACACACTTCCTAAGTCCCACTAGATGGTAACCTTTAAGAGAAGGGACCTGGAGTGGGCACACTGTATCCAATCTGATGGAATGGTCAGATACCCTCAGGGAGAGGCAGTCCCACAGATAATCTCGCCCTGTGCCATACAGGGCATTAAAGATAATAACCATCACCTTGAATCCAACTGGGAAGTGTCCAAGGTGTGAGTGATGTGAGCAAGGCCTCCCAGTCCAGGAAAGAGTGCCATTGGCGCATAAGACATATCTCTGCAAAGGCCCTCTTAACTATGGCTGCCACCTGCTCCTTGAGCAGGAGCCACAAATCCAGGCGGACCTCTAAATTGTGCACCAACTCTGTTTGGGGAAGTGCTATCCCATCAAGAGTCAAAGACTACATCTCTCCGGACCCAAGGGGGCCAAAATCACAGAGCCACTCCATCTTGCTAGGGTTGAATCAGAGCTGGTTCTTCTCTATCCAGACCCTTACAGTTACAGACTGTTATCTACTCTGCTGGCCAGTGCAGGTTGGAAGACAGATGTTTATTGATTTCCCAGTCTAGGGCTGAGACAGAGTGCCGGGCCCAAAGTCATCCAACTTGCTTCTGTAACTAAGGAAGGACTAGAACCTGATATTCCTACTCCACATCCAATGTCTTAACCACACACCATACTGGCTCTTACTAATATTTACACATATGTATTTTAAAGAGCCCTGCATCCCTCAGTTCATAAATGAATTAAATGTCTAGTGCCCAAAAATGGAAGTGTATTTCTGTTACTTTGACAACTGAAGCCCATGCGATTATGCTGCATGTGAAGTACAGGTTTTAAAGTAAGAAATAATGATCACTGTGTAACAGGTGGTAATTTTTTTAAGCCCCTGTGCACAAAGCCCATTTCCTGTTCAACATCTTGAAAAGATTATAAACTTAAAAAAAAAAAAAACTAAAAAGCTGCAATGAGGATCTGTATCAATCTCCACACAAACATTTTCTTATTAAAGATACAAGCCAGGTCTTAGCAGCTACCAAACTTTGCCCCTCTCAAGAATGAACGGGTTTTCTCAAGAAACAGTTTTTGTTACTCATGTCATTTTCTTTGTTGGACTTTTTTTTTTTTTTTAAGAAACAAAATATCACAAGATTTGGAAAACAGCCTGTTTCAACTTGGTCCAAATCATTGGTTATCAGGTAAAATTGGGGGACGCATTCAAAACAAAATTTAGGAATTCAAAACTTGATTTCTCCAATTGACTAGTAACCTCATAAATGGCGATACGTGTGTATTTTAACAGAATAGCCTGAAATGTCCATAGAGTTACCAAATTGGAAAGAACCATTTTGATATTTTAAAGTAATGCAAGTTGTTATACAGTAATCTGCTTGTGTCTGGACACTGATATTTTCAGGAAAGATATCCATCTCGGAATGTTCTTTGATCCATTCCATGAATGTTGGGGAAACTTTCAGAACAGCATGGCAAATAGTCAAAAAGATTTCAGAAGAAAGAGGATTTGTAAAACTACCTTTGTTTAACTTCTCTTCCAAAAAGCATCTGCTGGATCCAAACATTTTTTGGGATACAGCTCTAAAAGTTCTACCCTACGCTAGGAAATATCTCAGATTTCTTAAGAATAGCTTACTGATGTTTGGGCCTTGAAAACATTTGCATTCTTACTTAGGACAGTGTACACAAGCACTTTATATCCAGAAATCCACCAATCTATCTGCCACTGTATGTGATGTGTCACAAGCTTAAATACAGTGCTGGCATGATATATTTTATTCAGTCTTATTATTGCTCCATGTGCCTTGAGAATAACTCCTAGAACTCCTGTAGAATTCCTTGTTCACTGCCATAGGAGATCAGTAACAGATATCTTTCATGGCAGTTTGTCAACCAGTAGTTATATTTTCACTGAATGCCATCCCCTAATATCAAGAAGTTGGAGGGGGGGGGAATCCCACTGGCTTAGGCCAGTCAACATAAGAGCAGTGCCTAACTGCATCAGTTGTCAAATTAAGTTTTACTATCAATATGTGTACATGTCTAGTGATGTTTCTTCCACAGACATTAGAGAAAAGGAGCACTCAAAAAACTGCATATAGGAGTATATTCTATATTATAGATGGGTCTCAGATAAGTTAAGATGGTTACAGAATAAACATTGAGGCACAGTATTTTCTAAATTAATAAAACAATGCCTTGCTTCAGGTTATGACTAGAAATTGTTCAGACAATATAATCTATGAAGATATGGGCTTTCTTCCCCAGATATTACAACTGAGTAGGATTTCTGCTGTCTTCTTCCTTTCCTAGTCAATCTTCTGCTAGGTTTTGTATGGTACAACAAAATGGCATTGACTCATCAGGCTTTTGGAGAATTTGAAGCTTAATTGGGTAGTCTTCTGGTAGATGAAAGTATGCGATGATTGATGATAAATGTATATGCAAGTCAGAAGCCACAGTACGGACAGGACATGGTGAAACAGATTGGTTCCAGGCTGGCAAAGGAATGAGACAAGGCTGTATACTCTCCCCTTATTTATGCAACCTTTATACTGAATCTGTATTAAGGGAAGCTGGATTGGAAGAAGATAAGCATGGTTTTAAAACTGGAGGAAGAAACATCAATAACGTGCACTATGCTGATGACATTTTTCTAATAGCTGAAAATGGAAAGGATCTGCAAACTCTAGTAATAAAAGTCAAGGAACATACAGTAGTGAAAAAATGAGACTAAAATTAAACATAAAAAAGACCACACTAATGACAACAGATACAATAACCAGTCTTATAATCGATAACGAAGATACTGAGATGACTTTTGCCTTTTAGGCTTAAACAACAGTAGAGGAACAAGCAGTCAGGAAATATGTCACAGATTGGACTTGGTAGAGCAGCCACGAAGGCCTTGGAAGATATTCAGATGCCATGGTCTATCTATACCTATAAAGATCATAACAGTGCAAATAATAGTATTCTCTGTGACACTGAGGAAGCTGAATTGTGATGTCTAACTTAGTTATCCAATTATCCAGAGCTTTGATCACACTACTGATCCTGCTGGCTTAGACCAACATGAAAACATTTGGGGAGGTCCAGTTTGTGAAAGGTCCTAGGGAGCTAGGGAACTTATTTTCTCTCCCTTGTACTTAATTGATGACACCGCAGTAAATTCTAGGGAAAACGCCCTTTAGGTTATGTTAGGCTTTACTGTAAATCTGTCTTTTGAGATAAGGTCATTTCCTGTCAATATAGTTAACATTTTATACACAGAATAGAGCTACTTACTACAGGGAGTATTCCGATAGCTAACAAGCTGTGGAAATGACATGAGAGCAGACATCGTAAGCTGATCATTTTGATCTGATTCTTCTTCAGCAATCTGGTCAGCCCAAACTACAGCTTTCTCTCTGTGAATGAGCTGCTTAAACTCCCTGAAGTCATCCTCAATGTCATCATTTGCTAAATCAGTCCTTTTTAAAGCAATATACTGCTTTCTTAAAACTGGAAGCAAAGAGTTCAGGATTCTGTAACAACAAAAAGATAGTTCTAAGTATCTCAAAGAAATCTTATGTAACACCACACTAATCTTATTTCATAAACATGCACACACACAATCTAAATAATATAGAAATATACTGGGAGGAAAACATACAAATTATTTCACTGTTGGATATTCTGATATGAGATTGATCTTCCTTCTATCCTCCCTCCCTTCCACACTATCTGTCAAGCTCTTCGGCAGCTGCCTAAACCAACAGTGATTATTTTCCAGTAACAATTCTCATAGAGTTCTCTTTAGCAAGATTTATCGAGTCAGATGGAATGAGGTTACAAAAATGTCAGCAGCCAAACTATTTTCAGTTTAGAACCAATAGACTCCTGTGTACCTTAGTGTAGTGGCTTTCTGATTCTCTAACAACTCTTTGATGAACTGGCAAGGAGGCAGGTCTCTTTACTAAATATTTGCAGCAGGTCACTTGCACAGTTTCTTGAATCACTATCAGTTTCAGGATCACCTCTAACACCATGTTTCATAGATTAATCACTGCAGCTTGCTTTTGTTCATGGGACATGTCTTTCTTTGGGACACTGTTCTTTGACAGAATGTATGTATTTTGATCATCCTACCTAAGAATACACTTTGGAGCCAAACAAATTAGGTCAAAGCTAATGCGGGAGTCACCTGTATCCATTTTGGTTTTTCATGAAATAATTCCTGGAAAGGACTAAAGTTATGCCTTCTCTGGAATTAATTCCAGAATTGCTAGAAGAAACAGAAAACTCCAGAAACTTTGACTGCCTTTATATTAAAATGTGGTGGACAACTTGCATCATCGTATGGAGCAAGTAAACTATGGGTAAAACTCTTCCTTGCAAAGGGCTACTTTTGGTCTTTTATGGCATTCTGAAGTTTCTGACAAAAAAAATCAATGGGACATTAACTACTTTCCCTTGTTTTCTGGAAAATGAATCATTATTTTCAAATGCTTAGTAAGAATTAAAATTATGATTTGAGTATTTAAAAAATTATTTGAACATTAAATTAATTCCAACTAATTACAATATATTCTCTAAATTTCCCCTTTCCCATACTTTTTTTCTTACACAGTATAAATCCCATCTAAGAAGTACATGTGAAAGAAGATACAGAAGTCCACCCCAGTTTAGGATAATGGTTATTTTCCTACTTGGATCTTTACACCATCTTTCCCCATTCAATAACTAAAAGTAAAAGTTCCAAATCACATTAAGTCTCACGTAGACTATAATACACAGTAAAATAGCATACTTTTTACTGTGTATTTACATGATTGATTTTATAATACATGCT